AACTCCCTCATTGGTACACAGTCCCCCCACACCTCCCCAAACCCCACCCCCTACCCCCAAATATAATCCACTCTGCAACCCTCATTGCATACTCCTACGATGAAAGTAATGCCCTCAAATATAATACTTTTAGACTATTCTCTCCCCCATAGACTTCAATGCCGTAAACATATTTCATCCAGTTTTTCTCAGTAGATTCCTTCTTATGGCTGACTAAATAGTGCTGTGTATGGATAGAACATATTTGTTTATCCATCATCCATTGATCAACATTTGGGCACAAGTTTCATTTTGATTCCTCTTTGGATGGTGGTAGTAGGTCCTCACTGAGATAGACAGCGACTGGAAAAGTGCCCTGAGAACCTGGGTTTTAAACCTTAGTGCTGTTGACATTTTGGGCTGACAGTTGAGTGTTGGGACGGGAGAGGGTGCTGATATCCATTGTAGAGTATTTACCAGCATTCTGGCCCAGCCCTCCCCTCCCTGCCCAGTTTTGGCAATCAGAAATCTCTCCAGACATTACCCTGTGTTCTGGACATAAATGCCCCTGCTTGAGAACTGCTGGTCTCTATTAAAATTTCATGCATTTTGGTTTCTCTTCCTCTTTTAATTAGGATTTGAAAGGTTTCTGTTGCACTCAAACAAAATGTTCTCGCATTCATAAACTAATTTGTATTTCAGGGTTGAAAAGTACCGGCCACAGACGCTCAGTGACCTCATTTCTCATCAGGACATTTTGAGTACCAGTAAGTATCCTTCCAGTTGCCATCATATTAGCTGAAGGATGGGTGATCTTAGACGTGTGATGTCATCTCTGCTGAGCCGTAACTTTGAAGGAGGTGATCACACTTCACAAAGTATGGCTTGAAGAGTTGAGTCCCTGGGGGTTTTCAGTCTTGCAGCCCTGGCTAGGCTCAGCGTTCAATTGAAGCCCGCTTAGGAACAGCCCTGGAAGAGGCAACACTCAGAGGCAAATGGTGTCCTCTCTCTCTTCCTCATCCTCAGTCCAGAAGTTTATCAGTGAGGACAGACTGCCGCACCTGCTGCTCTACGGTCCTCCCGGGACAGGAAAGACGTCCACTATCCTCGCCTGTGCCAAGCAGCTCTACAAAGATAAAGAGTTCGGCTCCATGGTCTTGGAGGTAAACAGGACCAGCGTTACTCCCCACTGGCCAGTAACAGCTCATGACCTTCACTATTGAGACTTTGGCTTTCCTTTACTTTAAAAGGAAGAGTAAATTCTTCTTCTGGCAGTTGGAAAAGAATTAGATAGATGTGGGATATTTTCATTTCTTTTTTTGCTCCAGTGGCCATTTTGGTCCAGATTGGTGTCTGCTGGCCGGAGGGCGGGTGTCGTGAGGAGTCACTCTTTACTGTGCCCGCTTTCACCCAGGCACCCCCGCCCGGGCTGTGCCCTGTGTGCCACTTCACATCCTGCCCTGCGTTTCCACACCTGCTCTCACATTCGGACACTGAGCTTGGCTGAGCATGGGCTTCCGTTCCTGGTGAGGTAGAGAATGTGACCCTTCAGTCTGTGGGTCAGCACTGACCGGCAGCATCTCTGTGTGCAGGGCACAACTCTCTCCGGGTACCACCACTGCTAATCCTCTCCTTGAGGTTTGAGATGTAACTGTCTTGGAGTTATTGTATATTCCCTACAGCTTCCCACAGCCTACCCGCACCATTCACACCGCCCCCCCTTCAAATACCTGAATGTGAACATGCCATCTGCTTACTGCTTACTGATTGTTGTTGGTAGGTGCTGTAGCACCCCTCAGGATCAACAGATCTCAGCCCCTGACCTATCCTGTGCCGTCCTTATCATCTCTGACACATTTGAGCCCATAGTTGCAGCAGCTGTGTCAATCCACCTGGTTGAGAGTCTTCCTCTCGTTTACTGATCTTCCACCTTTCCAAGGAATAGCCCCTCCTATTCTTAACACCACAGCTCAAAGGCATCACTTCTTCTCCTGTCATCCTTCGTCATTGATGTTGTTGTTGTTGTTGTTATGTGCCATCGAGTCGCTTGCGACTCATAGCGACCCTATGTACAACTGCCCTAAACTCCACTCTGTCCTGTGCCAATCACACTATCTCTGACACTCCCATCTCGATTATCCCAGCCACTGCATCAATCCACCTCATAGAGGGCCTTCCTCTCCTGCTCTGTCCCTCTACCCTCCCAAGCATGATGTCCCTCTCCAAGGACCGGTCTCTCCTCACAACATGTCCAAAGTATGTTAGACGGAGCCTCAGAATCCTTGCCTCCAAGGAGCCACCCGGTTTAACCCTTTCCAGGATGAATCTGTTTGTTTTCCTAGTGTCTCTTGCCAAAAAAACCCACAAACCCAAATCCCTAAAGCCCCTAACATTTTAGCTATGGATCTTAGAACGCCGCTGCCACCAGCATTTTTATTTTGGTAACTGAACAATCTCCGGCCTGTGCAGAGTGGTTGTAGCTGAAATTAGCATCCTGTTCTCTTGCCAGAGGTGCCTGCAGTTGTGGCCAGACCGATTCATTATTCTCCCACTTTCTGGCCGAGGGAGTGTTTCCAAAGGGTGGCAGACAAACAGCAGTTTGCCTTTCAGATTATAGCCGGCATTTAGTGAGTGTTAATGTTGGAACGCTGATGTTGTGGGTTGTTGTACTGTTTTGATGATGATCCCTTAGACCCAGAGGCTTAACTTGGTGAACTAGTTTGAAGAAAAGTGCCATTCAAACCAAGAATTCATTGCTAGCATACACGAGTTTTCATTCCAGTCTCTCTTTTTCACGTTTAGCTCAATGCTTCTGATGACCGAGGAATAGACATCGTTCGGGGACCAATCCTGAGCTTTGCCAGCACAAGGACAATATTTAAGTAAGATTTGTGTCTCAAGTGAGATTTTTCAGCTTCGTTTTAACTGTCCCCTGGACCTATTTGTTAAGGTGAAGAATGATGGTGTCACAAGCAGCCGTGGAAAAGAGAGGAAGCATAGGGTTGGTGATAAGAAAGTTAGGCTGCACAGAAAAAAAAAACCCTCTTACTTTATACTCTCAAGGAATATAGGGAAGCCTTCATTTCATTTTACTGGTTAACTGCGGATGGATTACATTCTAACTTAAGGCAAGATGAACTGGTTTGACATTAGCAATCAGCTGTTGCTGTTGAGTGGAAACCAACTCATAGCTGACCCTCCAGAAGGTTCTCAGAGACTGTACACTGCACAGTACATCGACTGGTCATCTTTTTGCTGCAGAACAGCTGGTAGATTTGAGCCACGTGCCTTTGGGTTGGAGGCCCATCTCCTTACCAGTAGGCCGGAGAGTTAAAAACGTAGGTATGAGTCAAAGAGGAAGGAAGAGGTTACAGGAGACATGGGGAGAAAGGAGACACCAGGAGTTACAGTGTCGCAATGCCCAGGAGCTACACTGTCTCCCAGGTAGGGTCAAGGGCATTCAGGGGCATTTCTCTCTGCCCACAAGTTGGCCTTTGCCTGAGTTGTGAGTGAAAGGGCTTGAATGACGCATAAGTGGAGCTGAGGGCTTGGGCCTGGCAGCTGAAGAGAAGTTGCAGCCATCTAAAAAGTGCCTGTTGTTTTCCTAGGAAAGGCTTTAAACTTGTGATCTTGGACGAAGCCGATGCCATGACCCAGGATGCCCAGAATGCCCTGAGGAGAGGTAAGCTGGGCTGATGCACATGATAGAAGAACGGGGGACTTGGCACAGAGCGGGGCACAGCTTGGCTTCGGGTCCCATTCACTCCATGTGATCCATGCACATCTCTGTCCTCCGCTCCATTCCGTCGCACCTTCTGATCTAGACCGGGTGTCTCTGTGCTGACAGTTCCTCCAGCATGCTCGGCATGAAGACGTGAGCTCTGGAGCCTCGTCCTCCTTCCTCCAGCAAAATTTGCAGGGTTAAGAGTCTGAAGCACATTCGTTCTTTTCTATACAGTCATAGGTACAGAATAGCCAGGAAAGCAGTACCTGAAGTTTGCCGCACTCCAGGGGTGTGTCATTCGTCATTGCTTGTCATGGGGATGCGTAGCCTGTATGTCTGGCTTAGCTCTTCAGGGAGGTGGGGGTGCAAGGAGGTCAGTTCCTCTAAAGGACACTCGTGGTGAGGGTCGCGTCCGGTGCAGTTGAGTCGGTTCCAACTCACTGTGATTGTTCACAACAGAATGGGCCCCTGCCCTGTCCTGTGTCACCCTCAGAACTACCGCTGTGCCTGAGCCATTGTCGCGGCCACTGTGTAAGTCCATCTCATTGAGGGGCTTCCCATTTTTGTTCACGTGCTTCACGAAGCATGTTGTCCTTCTTCAAGGACCAATTCTCTCTTGACTGCACATCCAGAAAGAGATACGGTCTTCCCACTCGTGCCTCTCAGGAGCATTCTGCGCATCCTTCCAAGGCAGTAGTACAGTTCTTCTGGCAGTTCACTGTATATTCTGTGGTCTTCGCCAACATCATAATTCAAAGGCATCACTTCTTCAGTCTACCTTATTCATTGTCCAGCTTTTGTATTTTTTTTGCATTCATGAGAGACAGTGAAAATACCATGGCTTGGGTCAGCAGCAGCACAGTCCTTTAAGGGACATGGTTGGGGTTTTTTTGTTTTTTTTTAAATTATTTGTGTGTACCGTCAAATCGGATCTGACTGGTACAGGAGGAGATTGTCCCTCCTTCCCCGGCAGAGCATCTGGTGGATTCGAACCGTGCGCATTT